TCCCAAATAAAAACAAACCAACTCCCTTGGGAAAACAGCATCTGAGAAGCATACCTTGTCTCCACTCCGTCCAGATCAATTCCTTCAACGTATATACACTCATCAAATATGGGTCGAAATCTGGCACATCCACCTGGCGTTTGCGCAAGTACTTCGTAGAGATCTTGAACGGGTGTCTAGCTCCTGTCGTCAGGAGTAGATTGATTACCAGTGATTTGCCGACATCTTCTGCTTCTTTGTTCGTGGTGGTGAGGTCTGTGGAGGGGCCAATTGCGGGATCAGCGGGTTTGGACTCCTCAGGGCCACTGGCTGCAGGAGCGGAGGGATCGGGTTGCTGTTGCTGAGGTTCAGAAGCGGTGTTGGTGGTTGGATCTGGTTGTGGCGCAATATAGTGTTCTGAAGTTGGGGCATCAAGAGGCTGGCTGGTCATCGAGGGGGGAGTATCTGCTCTTATGGTCGTGCTGGTGCCGGGCGGGTTTGAAGGCTGTGTGGGATCTGATGTGACAGGACGATGCGATGAGACCATAGCCGGAGTGGCTGCGGGCTCATTCGAAGCAAACGGAGTGGTGTTGGTGTTGTCTTTGTTGGCTGATTCCGGCGCCCGTTTTGAAGAGGAGGGAGGGGGAAGTGCAGATGTTGTTGTTGTTGTTGTTGTCATAGTCGGTGAGGCGAGATCTTCCTGTGATATTGTGCGCTGGTCTGGTTTCGATTGGGAAATAGGCGATTCCTTTTTCTCCACAAAATCTCCCCGTTCTCGCTCTGGACTAGCATCGCGCTTTGGGGCAACAAGGGTTCTTGATTCCATGATCAAGGGCCCACTGAACTGAAACTATACCCGAAGCCAGATATGTCTCTTGTTTACTACTGATGAAATTCCGACGATATGGAGTCTGCGTATTCCAGGTTCAACGCAGGCCAAGGAATGGAAATATTTTCAAGGAGTAAGGTTAACGATAGAGAGATAGCGTGGTTGTAAAAGAGCGTAGGCGGGAAAGATAATTTCAGAGCAGCAGCTGGGTGAAGGATGAAGACGGCGGGAGCATGGCATACAGGGGGTTTCGAGATGCAGGAAAAAGATGGAGAAATCGCAGCCGTTGAGCACGGGAGGGAGGCGAAGACCGAGATAGGGGCGATGTCTACCCGATGTCCCTGTCTCTGGCGGTTGCAGTGTTGCGGCGTAGTTATTATGTCGTCTCCAATCTGTAACGTATATCAAAGGGGGTGTCTCTGCTGTAGAGTTTGTAGTGTATAGAACGTACGGAGTGAGTGGTTGATGATAATGATGATGATGTGATGACGATGACGACGACGACGATGACGATGATGATGATGATGATGATGATGATGATGTTATTGTTGTTGATGTTGGTTGGTTGGAGAGGTAAGGAACACTTTAGTTAACTACTCGACTGAGTAATCGCGAACAGCGAGCGGCAAGCGAAGGCTGAGCACAGGAAATTTGGGGGGGGGGGGGGGGGGGGAGGGGGGGAGAAGGAAGCAAGACGGGGCTTGCTCAGGTGGCTCAGGTGGCTCAGTCCAGTTAAAGCTACAGCTAAATTTGGGTGGGCATCAGGGACCCGAGACCCGGGGACCCCTTGGGCTCCTCGCTCGTGGTTCACCCCCTTTTTAACTAAAAGATTAAACGATATAAAGGGGTCAGTTTCCCCGAGGCCCAGCCGCTAATTAATAAGCTAACCTTCAACAGCTAACTCTGGTTATAATCACTTCTCGCCCGGAGAGGAAAAAAAGAGAAGTGTGCTTCCCAGCAGAGAGAAGAAGAAAATAAACTGGAATAAAAAAAAATGGAATCTGTCGATCAGCGCCCATGTTCCCCCCCAACCTGGAGTTTGTCACACTCCTCCGCCCAAGAGGACCCAAATGCAAGGCGTGACCAGGTAAATTTGACATGCCCCCCCCAAAGTTACAACCCGACATTAACATATGGTGCAGGACTTGTACATGACCAACATTTCTATTATTAGTTGGTAACTTCTGCACGGCGTGCAGAGAACCATGCTTTTGTCCAAATTTCCCCAATTCCCTTCCCAGATTGCGTTAACTTTATTTGAAAGAAACTCTTAGTTCGTTGCTCCCATCTTGGTCTTGATTAACCATTATTATTAATTACTAGGTAAGGATAGACTAGGCTCGACAGGGAACGTCAAACCAAACCATCAAAGGTAAACTCGCTCTCAGCGTCATGCAGTAACCATGGGGGGGAAGTAATTCGAGCCGCTGAAGTTTAAACCCAGAGTTTAAAAAGCCAGAATCAATTGTATGTAAATGTATAAAAAGGCTAGGACGGAGAGCGGGGGGGGAATAGAAAACCTAATGCAAAATAATCCATCCTAACAAGATATAAGACTCATGCAAATGCAATGCAGGAGATTGCAAGCAAGCATACATACCTGAAAAGAAGAAAATAAACAAACCGAGAACAAGAAACATCCGAACCCTAGACTTTCGCTATGCACACAGCGCTGGATATCACCACAAATCCGAGAAGAAAGACCAAGAGAGGGAACCGATGAAAATACTTCAATGAGCAACAGGTGTAGTTATGTGAAAGGAAACTAATCCGAAACCCGAGCCATATAAAAACCATTCAAACCGACATCAGCGTAGCGTTCCCGGAAAAGGAAAGAGGAAAATACGAAAAAAAAAAAAAAAAAAAAAAAAAAAAAAAGACCCCTACATCCACTCCGAATACTTCACCGGAACCTCATTCCTCAGCCCCTCAGACCCATGCGTCACCCCTAACAGCCTCACCCTCTCAATCCGCCCGCCAAAATCATCCTCGACAGTGCTCTTCCACGTCGACAGGAAATCCCGAAGGCTGTCTACAACCGCCGCATCGTCCCTTATCAGCAACGCATCGGCATCATACCCGCCTGCACCGGGCACCACACCACCAATCACCCCGTCCAGCTCCGAGAGCTTATCCAGTAACTCCGTCTGGACCTTGGGCTCGATGGGAACTCCGCTTTTCGCCGTCATGGTGCGGAGCAGTTCGCGCGTGCGGGATATGAGCACGCCAACCGCGTCAAAGTTGCCGTTCTCGGCATAATTGATATTTCTATTGTTGGAACTATAGCTAGCCTGAACCAACTCCTTCAACAACAGCCGCAACTTCTCATTGTTCGTCTGCAACTCATCCCACAGAGCATCTGCCTCTTCCCGATTCTCCTCTCGCCACTGAAGCACCTTCTTCACCATCCCCGGCGTCTGCGAGCCACAGTCCACATCGCAAAGCACAATCTGCATACCGCGCGGCAACCTGATGCCAAAGTCGATACACTCAGTGTCCCAGGGCACATCCTCATTGAGATCCTCGACAACAGCGAACAACCGATCTTCGAACTGTGGGGACCCGACGTCGCCTAAACTGTCGAGAACCGCTGGTGAGAAGCGGCGGTACAGACAGGATCCGTAAACTGCGGCGCCGACGTCGAAGCCGGAGCCGATTTTTCCCTGCGCGGCGCAATGGGCTGCCTGCGCGAGGTTATGGAGTTTGTCGCGGACGGCTGGGAGTTCTTCTGGCTGAAAAGAGCGGTGGATGACGATTGCGGAAACGAGGGCTGTGACGAGTGCGGCCGATGAGCCTAGACCGGTCTTGTGTGCCTCGTGGAGTTTGACGCCGAAGTCTACGAAGCGGGTTCCTCCGTTGTGGACTGGAGTTTGTGAGATGGAGGGTTGGGAGTAGTAGTCGTTGTCTGCGAGAATGGTGATGGAGAGAGAGCCGAACAGGTTGGATGCTGCGATGTAACTAACATATGTCAGGGCGTAGTTTATTGATGTTTCGACGTATGGATTTCGCGGTCTGCGAGATAATATTAGTAGACTGTTCCCAGTATAGCTTGCAAGATCAAATGCTTCGTAGATAATCAAACAGCGCCCGGATATGAAGTTCCAGGGTACTTCCTGTGCCCTTTCTCCAAAGAGTATTGGTGCAATCAAACATACAACCAGAATAACGAATGAACGCAAATCCATCCAGGAAAACCATATGATCCGACCCTCCCAACC